GCAAAAGTTTCATCATAATGTTTTCCCTTCTTTTTTATTATACATATGGACAATCAGCCTAGCTTTGTTTATGGTTATAGTACCATGTTCATCTAACTTGTTCCTAAACATCCATTTAGTTCCAATTATAGTTCTATTTGGGGGCTTAGGTACTAGATGTCGAACCTTACTCCTTTCAAATTGATGTAATTCCTCTTCCATTATCATAATCCAATCTGCATCTTGGAGAGCTTCACTTATCTTCTTTGGTTCCGCCATGGATAAGAAAGCATTATGAGCACAATGAGTTTTTATTCCTGTTCAGAGTTTGTATGTTCTTCAACTGATGCTACACTGACCTGCACATCTTCGTTAGATATAGTGTTGCTTTCATCGAAAATAACATGCACTCTCTCTTTTACACACATTTCTTTTGTTTAGCACCCTATAAGCTTTACTATGTATAGAATATCTTAGAAAAATTCCTTTGTCACTCATGACATCAAATTTTTCTAACAGATTTTTTCCATTGTTGTGAATAAAACGCTTGCATCCAAACACTCTTCGATGAGAGATATTGGGCTTTCTACCTTTTAGTAATTCATATGGAGTTTTATCTAGCAAAGGTCTAGACATACATCTATTTATAGTATAACAAGCAGTGTTTATTGTTTCTACCAAGAACTGATTGGTGATTTTACTTGAATGGTTCTAGCCATTTCTTGAAGGGTTTTATTCTTTCTTTCAATCATACCGTTTTGTTGGGGGGTTCTAGGGGCAGAAAAATTATGATCAACTCCATGGGAGTCACAATATTGAGCAAATTTTGAATTCCCAAATTCAGTTTCATGGTCGGATTTGATTACCTTTAATTGTTTCTCAAATTTTATTTGAAATTTTCTCATTAGTGAACAAAAAGCCTCAAAGAAATCATCTTTTGATGCAATAAATAGTACTTAGGTGTACCTAGTATAATAATAAACTAAAACAAACACATATCTTTTTTCTCCTCTACTTTGAACCCTCATTGGTTCACATAGGTCCATGTAAATTAGTTCTAAGGAACATGTTGAACTTATTATTTGTTTTGATTTAAAAGATGATTTTATCTGTTTCCCTAGAGCACATGCTTCACACACTTTATCTTTCTTGAATTTTGTTTTAGGAAGTCCTATAACTAAGTCCTTAGTGATGAGCTTGTTCAATTATACTTGGCTAGCATGACCTAACAATTTATGCCATAACAAGGGATCTTTATCCAACACACTTAAACATACCAAATTTTTATCAGAGATAGTTTAGGTATCTACATTGTAGACATGCTTGTATCTTTTTCGGGTTAACACTACCTTTTATGTGTTTAGGTTAATTACTTCAACACCAGTGGATCGAAAGACTACCTTGTTTTCTTCGTCACATAATTGAAATATGTTGAGTAGATTGTGTCTAAGTCCTTCCATATAGTACACTTTATCAATTAAATATTCATCAGATCTTCCAATCTTACCATACCCTCTGATTTGACCCTTTTTTCCACCACAAAAAACTACCATTCCTCCTTTTCCTTCTTCAAGTGAGAGAAACAATGTCTTCTACCTGTCATGTGTCTTGAGCAAGCTCTATTCATGTACCAATGTTGCTTGCTTTCTCTCACTTCTTCCTGAAAAGAATAATTTGAGGTTAGATTTAGGAATCCAGATTAACTTGCGTCCTTTGTTTTGATCAAAAGGATATATAAGAATTCTATGAGCCCATTTGAGCAGACTGTTTTTTCTAGGAATATACATGTTCCTCTAAACAGTTTCATAAGTTTTTTTTTGTATTATTTTCTCCAGTAGCTTTGTATTTAGGACAATATTTTAGAGTGACCTGAATTATCACAAATAATACAAAGACACAAAATCAATCCCTAGTTTCGTATCTTCTAACGCTTTTCAAGTTCTTCAACTTGTCAAGCAACTCGTACTCACACAACTCGGATTGTAAACAAGACTCTTGAAAACAATCTCACTATTCTCTCGACTCTTAGCACTCAAAAATAATTATCAAAACTCTCTCAAAGCTTTTGATTGTGTTTTGATCTTCTCTCTATGTAAGTGCGTAAATTCTCCAAGTGAAACTATTGCCCTATTTATAGACTTTGATCTTCACCTAAGTCTTTATCAACACAACTTTCTCAATAAAAATTATACTCGAATTCAAATTTCTCGTAAAACTCCTATTTTGTATTTGACTTGATACATAAATTCTTTTAGCAACTTTTTCCTTTTTAATTAAAAAACACGCTTTCATTAATCAGTTAGCCGCTGCCTTGGAAAAAATTACATCAGATTTCCTTAAATAATTTTCTTAAATAACTTTGATGAAATCTTGTTGAAAGTAGAACTGCAATTGCTGGACCAAATTGTTACTACCGATTCTCGAAGCTCTTTAACATAGTTCAAAACAATGAGATTTGACATCTTGACGTCATCATTAGAATGTTATTAATTTGGTGGTATATATCACATTTCAAATTTATTTTTACATATTTCATTATTTTATAAATCTTAATTTTGAATTAAGTGTGAATAGGTTTATTTTGTATTCAATATTAATAATAAGCGTAATTTAGATTTCAAATTTCATCTTTTAATTTAATTCAAATTATATTCTTTATAGATTTTTAATTTGAAAAAAGAAAGAAAATTATAAACGTGTTGATATTTGGCCATTTTGAACTATTTTAAAAGAAGTTGAATAACAGGCGAAAGTTACAGAAATATGAGAATTAGTCTATTCCTTATGTATTAGGAAACTTTTTCATAATTGAAAAATAGTTAATAAAAAAATTCAATAAATAAAATTAAATCAGTTTATAAAGTGAATATGTACTCTGGCAAGTATGGCCAAAATTATTCTGGTCAAAACTGAATTTTGTTTACGAGTTCCAAGGTTAATTGTTGCCCTTCACATGCACTCACAGTTTATGCCGACACGTCGTGTCCAGCATGCAAAATTATGCAACTAATAAAAAATCCTCCTCAATAATATAAATTCTTAATTATTTAAATACACACGTAAAGAATATATTTATTTTTTATTCTTTTACGATCTCAATTTATACGATTTACTTTCTTTGCTAGTCCCTAAAAACAATGAAGTTTTCTTATACTAATTGTTTGGTTCATTTTTTAATTATTCATTTTATTAAAATTAATTATTTAATATTACGGTCCAATTTAGAAAATCACTCATTCCATTTATTTTTACTTTTTGATGATTTTCTCTTTTAGAGTAAAATAATAAAAGAAATTTACTAATATTTTATGATATATTTTTTAATCATATTATTATACAAACTTTGTAAGTTATAATACTCTTTGTAAAGTTTTTGAATATCTAAATGTTTTGTTTAGTATATTAAATAATATTATCTAATTTAACTTTAAAATTAATCAAATTACTTTTAAAAAATATAACATACAAATAATAACGAATAAAAGAATAAAAATTAATTTTATTTTTCTGTGTATATTTTATCCTTACCGTCAAATATCTAATATAATTGAAAGCATTAAACCAATATATTTAAAGGAAATTGATTGTGTTAAGTGGGAGAATTATATTAAAGACTAGTACACCACAACTTAGATTCAATTATTTTTATCAAATTAAAGTTAGACGAAACAGTTACTTAATTGGAGAATAAATAGTTTTGCAATAATTTATTATGTGATTTTATATTTTAAAAAATTATTTTGTAAAATTTCATATATAATTGGGATTATTTCAATAGCTTTACAACTTATGAGATTCTTATATTTATAAAAAAAATACACAACACAAAAATTTTATATCGCATGTCCAAACAAAACTTCAATTTTATCTCATAATTTCATATTATAATATCATATCATAATTTAATATCTAACACCATATCGTGGCCAAATGGGTCATTATTATCTCAAGGCATATGTCAAATTAGTAGTGAACAATTATTATGAAATGAAAATAATAATAATTTGATTATAAAATATTTGTTTTACACTTGATAAAATAATTTATAATAATATAATTATTTTATTATTTATTTTATACTGTAATTTTTTTTTAGAAAGTTCCTTCTCTTTTAAATTATATAGCAAATAAAATTAACTTATACTATAAAATGTAGCGGAAGGAAGAGAGTGGTTATTTAAGTGAAGAAAAATAAAACAAACAATTTTTAATATAATTATTAAATGGGAATGTCCGCATCTTTTTGATGTTGAAGTTATGCAGTAAAAATTAAAGTGGTTCAGCAGAAGTCAGGATGTGAACGACACATGAAGAGAGCACCATCTAAACATTTACGGGATTGTTCTAATTGTTCTTTTCTTAAAATTATAAATATAAAATATTGTTAACAAAGAATATTTTCTCTCAAATCAAATTTTACTTGGAATAAATTTAAATGATTAAATTTTTAATATAAATATGAATCGGAGAGGTAAAAAAAAAGAAAGAAAGAAAGAAAGTGACACTGCGGACAGCCGGACACGGCCATTTGATGACGAATCACCAAAGTTCTGTTTAATTAGTTATGCTGTATGAAATTATTAGGCTGAATGCATATAAAATTTATTGTTGTTTCAGTATTTATTAATTCATATTTATGTAGAAATTAAGAGATGTAATATATAATAATAATAATAATAATAATAATAATAATAATAAAGAATAGTAAAATAAATAATAATAATAAAATAATAAAATATTAATACTACTACTAATAATAATACTAATAATAATAAAAAAAAAGATAAAAAAATAAAATATTTGATCAACTTAAAAGAGCTTTTAAGCTAAAAAAAAATAATTCTTTCTCAATTTTTAATTTTCGACTTAAAATAACTTTTTTTTTAATTTAAAATAAATCACTTTAAAAATTATCACACTTAACTAAATCAATAATTAACTTTTAAATTAATTTAACCATCTTTTAAGCTAATCCGAACAGGCTTCGAGAATGCTTGTCACACCTCTTCTATATATATTAGTATTAGTAAATTTAACATACATACAGTAGCTGCAAAGGAAGTTGCATAATGGCAAGTAAGCTCAGGTAAATTAATGGTGTAAATAAATACATTGATTGTGAACTATTTTTAGCTTTAATAAAATGTTTGATGATGTAGGTTGGAGGGCAAAGTGGCTATAATAACAGGTGGTGCAAGTGGCATTGGAGAAGCAAGTGCTAGATTGTTTGTCCAACATGGTGCTCGTGTTGTCGTTGCCGATATTCAAGATGAACTCGGTCTCCAAGTAGTCCAATCCATCGGAATCCACAAAGCCACTTACCGCCACTGTGACGTCACAGACGAGAAGCAAGTTGAGGATACCGTAGCTTACGCGGTACAGAAATATGCTACTCTTGACATCATGTTTAGTAATGTCGGGACGCTCAACTTCTGCAGCGTCCTCGACATGGACATGACAGCCTTCGATGAGACAATGACTGTCAACGTAAGAGGATCCGCGTTAGCAGTCAAGCACGCGGCTAGAGTTATGGTTGATAAGAAAATTCGGGGATCCATTATATGTAACGTGAGTTTAGAGGGTATTCTAGCTGGGGCCGCTTCGTTAGCCTACATTGCGTCAAAGCACGCAGTTGTAGGCATTGTGAAAGCGGCCGCACGTGAATTAGGTCCATATGGGATTAGGGTGAATGGGGTGTCACCTTATGGAATAGCGACGCCGCTGGTGTGCAAAGCATATGGGTTAGATGCGGCTCCACTGGAAGCAGCAATAAATGGAAATGCAAATTTGAAAGGTGTTACGTTGAGCACAATGCATGTAGCACAATCAGCACTTTTCTTGGCGTCTGATGAATCTGCTTACACAAGTGGTCAAAATTTGGCTGTCGATGGCGGACTTAGTTCTATTTTGAAGCTACAATAAATAATTGTCAAGTGTCTGGTGTTGGTGTGTTGGAAGTTACAATAAATCCTCACCTTGTGAGTGTACTGCTGTTTCACTTGTTTCCAATTTTTCAACTTAAATAATATTCTATCCGTTTTTAAAAAAATATTCTAGTTTAATCTTTTAGTTTTGAAGTTAAAAGTCATGTTAAATATCTTTGTGATTTTAAATATGTCATAAGGTTTTTTATTTTAACGGAGGAAATATGTTATTTACAAAAATAATACTTCTTTCATTTCATTTTGTGTGACAACATTTAATTAGACATAGTATTTAAGAAATAAAGAAGACTTTGAAATGTTTATCCCATTTAAAAAAATAAATTTACTTTTCTCTCTCCTCATAAATATATTAGAGTAGTATACTTTAATTAAGTGGGACCAAAAGGATAAAAAAAGCATTGTACCTTAAAGTACTTTCTATATAAGAAAATGTGACATTTTTTTTGGGACTGACCAAAAAGAAAATAATATCATATAAAATGAGATGGAAAAAGTATTACACAATATTTATTAAGATTTACATAAATAAATTATACGTATTTGAAGCCATGTTTTATAGTACTCCCTCTATTTTAAAATAATGTCTTAATTTTGATTTTAAATGAAATTTAAGAAAAAAGAAAATTTAATTTCTTAATTTTGTGATTCTAATTAAAGTTATATGTCAAATATTTTAAAATAATCTCTAATTTATATTATTAAATATGTCGAGTTAAAAATAAAATATTAATATCTTATAAAATAAAATAAAATGTTACATTCTTTTTAAAATGAATTAAAAACATTAAATTATTATATTTTTAAAGAGAGAGAGTACCAAATTACTGAAAATTTCTAACGCCAAAGTTGATATTGACAGAAGAGCAGCGGAATTTCTCTTTCCTTACCCCACTTTATGTGGGGCCAAATAATTGTCATTTTCCTTCATTGTCTTTTCTCTTTCTATTTCTACTGGACACATTTGTTATCGGGCTCAATATCTTAATCTTATTTTAATTTAATTTATCTGATATATTATTTTCTTCGTTTTAAAAAGAATAATTTAGTTTAATTTAAAATGAAGTTTAAAAAATTAAAGAAGATAGAAGACTTTTTAATTGTATGGTTCTGTTAGTGAAAAACTTACAAGATAATAAAATTGCAAGATTACAATTGAAAATAAAATGAAGAAATTAATCTCTTCAGGTTGAGGCACGGATATCTCGCTCTCTTTAAGGAGATTCAAGCCCACTGCAGCAAATGATTTCACCGGTCCAACAGTAGTCCTCTTTGACTTGTCCCCTCCATGATATAACAGCCTTCACAAAGTATAACTCAACAACTCTGGACAATAGTTGAGTCCAAAGCTCCACAAAAAAGAACACCTCCCTTCAACTAATAAGAACTCTCTTTTAGACTAACTCTTTCACTCTTTGTTTTCTCTTATGAATTGTGTGTCTATAAAACCAAATGAAGACTACCACTATTTACACTACAAGAAGTCTTCCTAGCAATGAATAGGATAATGGAGGTAGTAAATAGTGAAGATAATGGTCTTAGAAGTTTCATAGGTTACAATGGGAGTTACATAGGTTACAATGAGAGTTACACAGGTTACATAGGTTACAAAGAGTAATGGAGGAATTAAGAATGAAATACATTGATGGATAACCAATGCTAATGGATGATGTATAAGTCATCCATTCCAATGTTCATTCTTATAACTCCAAAATAAAGCAATTTAATATGTTAAATATTAATATTAAAATGCTAATAACCTAACAATCCACCACTCATTTTAATATTTAGATAAGAGAGTATATCAATTGAAGGAAGACTACTATGCATAATGAAGGTGTGCGCTGCATTGAATCTCCACTTAATGAAACAGTAACTTTTACTCCAGAGTCGTAGTGGTCTCAGATTTGAACTATGACTGCTTAAGGGAAATAACATATCACTACTCACACATAATAAGCAAGGTGTTGACATGAGCTTTAACAGCCAGCACGTTATGGCCATGTGCTATCCCGATTTCATGAGTGCATTTGAGAATAAGCCCCATTCTCATAGGAAGCGACCTACTTCCGCACATCACATAAGTGAAATCTGTCGAGAGTGCTCCTGTAAGATTAACACTCCACCCATACGGGCTACAGATATTCATTAAGAGTTTTATCAACTCAACCTTCACAAACTACAGGAAATAATGCACTCACATCATAGGGAGGGAAAAAATAGTGCATTTTTCACAACAAGTCATCATATGATTAGTTTTTCCCTTTGAACCTGGTTATAGTATCTCTAGTCCCCAGGTTGGGTTTCCTCATATATGACTCAAGGATTTGTAGACTTCAATCCCATCACCCTCGACGTGCTCTAGACCTTTTCTCTTGTTAAGGCCTTCGTAAGAGGATCTGCAAGTTTATCACAAGATTTGACATAATCAACATTAATGGTACCAATTCAAATACGATCTTACATTACTGTGTTTCCTCCTTATAGGTCTGAATTTACCATTGTAATAACGATTTTGAACTATACCAATTGCAGCGGTGCTATCACAATGAATTAAAATAAGAGGAATTGATTTTTCAAAGTAAGGAATTTCAAACAATAAATCTCTTAACCAATTCGCTTCCTCACTAGATGAAGCTAAAACAATTAGTTCATCCTCTATGGTAGAGCTAGCAATTATAGTTTGTTTTTTTCATCTCCAACAAACAGCACCACCACCTAAAGTAAAGACATAACCAGTGGTAGAATAGGAATCACCTGACAAAGTGTTCCAATCTGCATCACAAAAGCCTTCAAGTACAACCGGATATTTTTTATAGAACAAACCACAATTTTTTGTTCCAATCAAATATCTCATAACTCTTGTTATAGCATGCCAATGTTCATTACCTGGCTTGCTTGTAAACTTGCCAAGTACTCCTACTGCATATGCAATATCAGGCCTAGTGCAATCAGTCACATATCTCAAACTTCCGATTATACTAGCATATTCCTTTTGATTTATTACATTATTTTCACTTTCAACAGGAAATGAGTGAACACTTGAATCAAAAGGAGTAGCAACATGCTTGAAATCAAGAAAGTTATATTTTTTCAAAATTTTCTCAACATAATGTGACTGGTCAAGGAAAATCCCCTCACATGTTCTTGTTATTTTTATTCCAAGAATAAAATTTGCCTCACCAAGATCTTTCATATCAAAATGGCTTCTAAAAACATTTTTAGCTTCATCAATAACATTCATTTTAGAGCCAAAGATCAACAAATCATCAACATATAGGCAAATGATCACATGTGAATTATTCCAAGACTTATGATATATGCACTTATCACACTCATTTGTTTTAAAATCATTTTCAATCATGCATGAATCAAACTTTTCATGCCATTGCTTTGGTGCCTGTTTCAAGCCATATAGGGATTTAGTAAGTTTACATACTTTGCTTTCTTGGCCTGCTTCAACAAAACACTCGGGTTGGTCCATATATATTTCTTCATTTAGGTCTCCATTTAGAAAATAAGTTTTTACATCCATTTGATGAATTTGCAAATCAAAAATTGCAGCCATAGGAACTAAAAGTCTAATGGATGTAATTCTTGTTACCGGAGAAAAAGTATTCAAAAAATTCTAGGCCTTCTAGTTGTTTAAAACCTTTTGCAACTAGACTAGCTTTGTATTTATCAATAGATCCATCCGG